ATTTTGTGATCACATTTCTGTCTCCGAGTACTGAAAGGTCCCAAGCTAGTTTATACGCTACTGAGTATATCGAAATATCCGGATAATACGGATATTTGAATAACTCGAATAGTGCTATTCGTACTATTCGCTGCACAAAGTATCCNGATATTCGAATACTATCCGTTGATCGAAGTTTATTCGTACATATATATTATATTCGAATATCCGGATATCCGAATCACACTGTTATTCGAATTTAAGCCGCAGCCCTAATAAGTATGTGTACTGTAGATGTTTTAGTATTTATTGTTCTTATGCATGAATACAACAAATATATAGAAACGAAAGCAAACGAAACATTTTCAAGATTGGTTAAAGATTATTGTTTAAAAAATAGTACGTCTGTTGCTATTTGTATTATTATTCACAAAGAATAAATTTCTAACATGAGTTTTGCACATCGCGATGCGATTGTAGTGCATTAACTTGACCTTATACTTGACGTATAAGGGATTATGTATATTCGTCGATTCGGTGTGCTAAAAGCAACTCGCGGTGGTGATAGAAATTATTATGTAATTCACGCGCGATCGACGAGTTCAAGTTGACGAAGTTGCACCACCTTATCTGCGTTATATTTATCACAAAACGTATTGTTTACAAAAGTCTTCCTTTATAAACTTACAAAAATTATATATGCTAAACATTTTTTTTTTTTAATTTGTTTTACAAAAAAAGTGATAAAAAGTAGCGCCAAGTAAACTCTTGTACATTATTGTAATGACAAACAATATACAATAGAGAACAATATAAAAAAAACTACAATGTACAATAACATATTTCTGTCACTAGTAAGACTACGCCTTGTCTTTTTTCCGTTATTATATACTACAAAGCACTTTTTTTCTAAAAATGTAACAAATTGTAGATTTGCAATTTTGTTTTTGAATCAAAAACCGTTATATTAATTTCTTATTACAATTATCTTTAAAATTATAGATGTTTTAGATATTTGATGCACATGATGATTATAACACTGACGACATTACATTTTACGTTAGATATGACATTATGATATTCACAATAATTACACGCAGATCTCTGTAAAAATGTAGTGAATAATATACTTTTGTGACTAGTTATAATATAAATTTTGTTATTTCTGTTTCAAACGTACGCAATACTTGCGTAGCACCACGCTTAAGCGCTCTTATGTACAAACAGAACGCGTTACGAGACCTTATACGATAATCATTAAGCGTTTTGCTCTTATAGAAAAGCTTCATACTTGATTGACAATCGAGTTCCTTCTAGTCGCGCATAATGCGTTCTATCTGTTATGATGGGTGTTGTGGAAAACGATCTATAGGTACTCAAATTATATTCGATAAATATACAAAATGTTTGACAATTATTATAGCTTCTTTTGTAGACAAGTAGAACGAGTGAAACTGAGTCGAAAAGTTTTATACTATTTTACGCGATTCGCAATAATTACCAGAATCGTAATTAAAAAAGATCCGCGAATAAGCATGCATCGAGCTGTTTTGCGTGCGATAAAGTTGAAGTATTCTATAAATATACTTTCAAGCAACTGACGATAAGTAAACAACAAATCTACGAAAATGTCCTGCTTCATTGTAACACATTTTTTTTATACACAGAAAAGTCCAGTTATTCGAAAAAAAACGTTATATTGCAAAGAACTGTTCCCGACAAACTAACTTGAAATTAGTCCGTATTGATACAAACTATAAATTCGATAAGAAACTCACAAAGTTCATTTTTCAAATACACTTTTTATTATAAGTACGTATGTAATAACTATTTCTGTTTAAAATGAGTAAAAATAACTAAACATAATAAATTCTGCCACATTAAATTCGACTTACATTACCTATTTCTGTGTTTACATAAAAAAATACATAAAAAATACATAAAAACAATTAACATACATAAAAAAAATTACGAGTAACATATTTCGTCATACATATGACTGTTTCATATAAATTATTGATAAATGTTTCTTTTTTTCATATTTTTCATAGTTTTATATACTTACATATTATGTGTTTTTCTATAACGTGTGCTTTATATATTCACGTGTGAGCAATTAATTAAACTTAAATTTATACTTATTCGCAGTTATGTAAGATGAAATATAGTGTATTATTTTAGCATTCATTTTACCAAAGATTTAATTTCATTTTATGCTCATTTTGCGAATTATTAAATGTATTAAAATTTGTAATTTTCACATTTTAAACATAATTAATAAATACTTTTTTGAGCCATAAAATAAATTAAATCTTGATTTACAAAAATAACTTTAGTATTAAAAGCAATACATGGATTTCATTTTCTATTTAAATTAAAAAGCAATGTCAATACAAAACACTTTGTAAAAATCATCGTTACTTGATTAGTAATGTAGTAGATAATGACGTAAATCCCGAAAGTATATTTTCATTATATTTATAAATGTCCGCCGCTTCTTAATTTTTTTCATAATGATGTCGTGTATAAATGTTGGCTAAAAAAATATACAAATTATAAATATGATAACATCTTGTATACTTTTGCAGAAATGTAATAACGTTAAAAACTACATTTTTATAAAAAAAAACCAAAAATTATTACGAAAGAAAACAAAACAACTTGTGTAAATACGTGTAAAACATAAAAAAATGTGATTTAAACACGTAACAAGTATTGAACAAATATAACAAATTTTATTTTAGAAACTTAAATTTGTAAAATAATTTTTAACTTTTATTTAACAACTATATTCTATTTATAAAACTTCCTCTCACCGTTTCTAGATTATATCTGTTTATCAAATTTGTAACCATCACTCGTACAGTCTTAGTAATCTAAAACCACCTTGTAATAATAATATTGAATGTAATAACTTGTACCTTACTCAGCATTATATATGTGATTTTTTTACTGTGCTAAACTACATTTATATAACTTACTAATATACTTTCATTACGTACATACATTAAGTTACGTAATCAAATCAAAAAAAGATTGTTTTACAGTTATAGCTATATTAAACGGTTAAGTTCACATAACGTACCGTTTCGGAATCTTCATCTGAATATATGTAATTAATACTAAAATTCACAACTACAAGGCCAACCGGTCTTTTAAATGAAACACATATACCAGATACTTAGTATAACCTCTTTCTTAGTATTTACATTATACTCTTGTAAGATATAAAAAACCACTGTATATAAATTGAATAAACATAATATACATATACAATTATAAACTACATACAAGATATATAGTGTAAATTATACATATTGTACATACAGTAATAAGATAATACAAAAATTCTTTCGCTTATTACTTTTAAGTAATAAGCGATAAGTAGACAAAAAAATGATAAGTAACTAAGAAAATGTTCTTTTTGATTGTAACACAATTTTATTCACAAAACAGTGGAAATTCAGAAGAAAATGTTAGATAGCATACAAATGTTTCCACGTAACCTTTCTTGAAAACATTGCGCAGTGATAAAAACTAAAGAATTGTCACAAGATAGTACAGTTTATATTACAAATACTCTTTTTATTATAAGATTTTGTCATATATATTTTTGTTTGTACATATTAAATACAAACACAGCTTAAGTTATAAATAACATAATAAAATCTAATTAAATTATCGGTTATCAGGTTTTACATACATAAAAAAATTATTACGAGTACCATATATTATTTTCTCATACATACTACTGTTTGATATAGATTGCTTCTGTTTTATACATTTCATAGTTTTATATATCCAGATAATAATGTTTGCGTGCACGGTTTGCGCGCGTTAAATATGTAAATCTTATATGTGATTTGTCTAAATTTCGTTTGTGAAAATATTTCATCGCGCACACGTGCATATTGCGCACAAGACACTATCTAATACCCATCCACTATACCAACAAATAACGAGCAAATTGCTAATGTATTGTATTATTTACTCTTAATTTGACGGTGTATTACATACTTAGGATGAATAAGTCGTTCTTGTGTATGATGACAATATATTTACTTACAAAATTCTGTCTAGATTTACTGGTTATATGCTGTTCATATGACGACGCACTGGAATACCATGATACTTGCAAAATGTTATCTGAATACCTACACCTAATGTGTTTTTTTGTATACCGTGTGTTTTATATAATCATTTGTGAGCACTTAACCTTAAATGTATACTTAGTCGTGCAGTTGTGTAAAATGAAATATAGTGTAATAGTAGCATTTCTTGCACCACAGATTCGATTTTATTTTATGATCACTTTGCGAATTATTAAATGTAGTAAAATCTGTAAAAGCTACATTTTTATCAATTAGAATTAATAAATACTTTTTTGTGTCATAAAATAAATTACCTTTTGGTATACAAGAATAACATTGATATTAACAGCTATACATAGATACCATTTTCTATATAAATTAAAAAGCATATGTTTATACAAAAAAACTTGTTAAAATCATCATGTGATTAATAGTGTAGTAAATAATGAGGTACGTCCCGAATGTGTATTTTCTTCATTCGTATAATCGTTCGACGCTTCATCATTTTCTTCATAATGACGTCGTGTATAAATAATGGCTACAAAAAATTACAAATTATATTACTGATAACATTTTGTATACTTTTGCAGAAGTCTAATAATGTTGAAGAATACAGTTTTATAAAACAAAAACCAAGAATTACAAAAGAAAACAAAATAAAACTGTGTAAGTACGTGTAAACCATAAAAAAATTATTTAACCACGTAACAAATACTGAACAAATCTAACAGTTTATATTTTAACAACTTAAATTTGTAAAATACTTTTTAAGTTTTATTTAAAAACTATATTCTATTTGTAAAACTTCTTCTTACCGTTTCTAGATTATATCTGTTAATCAAAGTTGTAACCAATAGTAGTACAGTCTTAGTAATCTAAAACCACCATGGACTAATAATATGAAATGTAATAACTTCTAAATCATTCACTATTATATATGTCATTCTTTTATTGTGCTAAATTACAACTATATAACTAACTATTATACTTTTTTTACGTACATGCTTTAATGTACGTATTCAAATAAAAAGAAGATTGTTTTATAGTTATAGGAATATTAAATTTAAGTTCACATAACGTACCGTTTCGAGATCTTCATCTGAATATATGTGGTTAATACTAAAATTCACAACTGCAAGTAGGCCAACCGGTCTTTTAAATGAAACACATATAACAGATAATTAATATAAAATCTTTCTTAATATTTACATTATACTCTTGTAAGATATAAAAAATCAATGTATATAAATTGAATAAACATAATATACACATACAGATATAAACTACCCTTACGGAAAAAACGTTCGACTATTGACCGTGACGTACAACTTCACGTTCAATTTGACCATTAACGCTCAAAATTGAACATATAACGCTGAATATTGAAAGTTTACAGTCAAGTTGAACGTGATTTTGTACGATACGGTCAATAGTTGGACGCTTTTTCCGTAAAGGTACATACAAGATGTATAGTGTTGTAAATACATATTGTACATATAATAATAAGATAATAAAAATTGACAGTTTTATATAGAAAACTTTGTTCACCTTGGAAATTTATTTTGTATTTGGCTTAGTATACTATCCAGTGAAGAAAATCTTTTTACGTGCCTTGCAACAATATGGAAAAGAATGCTAACAAAATCACTTTCTTTTCCTAAAGTATGTTCTTGTGCATAACGCACTTCTAATCTATAATTGTGTCCACGACAAGATAAAAGGTGATAAAAGTGATTTTGCTTTTCTTGTAACAAGTAAATGTCTTGTATTGTAAAGAACAACATGTAATCATTTATAATTCCTAATGTCACACTTTGGCAATATATCCATTTCTGCCAACTTACCAACAATCTGTAAATATTCACAAAACTATATATATAAAATTACTTCTACACTTATCACTCGGACGAGTTTACTTTTCTCATGATATCGTAATGATATGACATTACTCATGCTACAGATGCTATTACGTTTTCTATAATCGTAGAAGCAAGACACTTTTTGAGGTCATGTCTATTTAACTTTATATATAAATATATGTGTAATTAAACTGTACAAATCTATGTACGGTTTGTAAAAAATTGTACATTTTTTTAGAAACTATGTCACTCGCGAATGTTTAGTATTTTTGCGAATATCATAATACTGTATCAAGACTCATGTTGTCAGATATATAATATTATGTATAAAATATCAGTAAAGAGAGAAAAGTGTTATACAAACGTCACTTGGTACTAAAGAAATAGAAAAACGTACTTGTTATGTGCAGGATTTTGTAAATGCCACTCTAATATATCAGTAAGGTGTTTGTTGCACTTTGAACTATTAAGAATACATGTCCATTTTAACGTTTCGTGATATAATTGAGTATCAATGCTATTCTCGGAAACATTTATATGTGATGTATCTTTAAGAAATTTATTCAAAATTTCTATTGCTCTAACCTATAAAAAACAGTGTAAAGTGTGTTACTATATGTATTTTGATAATTCTGTAACTCAAAAGTGTAGCCAACTGTTTTCTTATTTCAGAATTACTGTACATCTATAAAGTTTTGTAATTTGTAACAGTTTATATTTTAATTTTCTTAATATATGTACGTTTCTAACTGCACACTGGTTTAGTCGTTTTTTTTGGACAATGTTATATATATGTATATTACTTTCTAGTAGGTTTTTCTGTTGTCAGGTGATAAAAAACAAGCGGAGAAAAAAATGTGTAACGTAAACCATGTATATTAGAAGACTCTTTCATTGAGTGAGTTTTTAAGTAAAATTGTGTTTTAAAAATTGACCTTTTTTATTTTGTTCTGTATCAGTGCAATGTAGTATTTACCTTGATTTTTGCGCTTTCTGGAAACGGAAAAAGTTGTGATACATATTGAAGAGCATTAAATATTGGATACCATGTTATGTACCCATTTTCCACGTAAAGTACATTGCCCGCAAGATTGAAAAATGTGTCTATATTACTCATTCCTGCAACAGGATGTTCGTTGTACTTTGTATTTTGTATTAAAAAATAAAAGGCATCGTCGAGAAGTTGGGCTAAAGTGACGTCAGATACTTCATATGCATGCCAAATCGTATGATTTTTATTTTCCAAAAAGAAAGCAATGTTTGTCCATGATTTATAATCATAGGTCACACGATATCCTATTACAAATGAATGTTTAGAAGAAAAGTATACAAAAAAAAAACAGAAAAAAACAGAGAAAAAAAGGGATAGATTATGTAAAAACAAAACAATACATGTAATACAATGTTAAAAATGGTTAATAGAGTATATATAAAATACATGGAACTTTACAGTCATAATTTATTTGTAGTGTAATACCATTTTGCGCCGTAATCATGATAAAATCATCTTCTTTAATATACGGAACAAAGATACTTTTTCTGTCTGGTATTAAGTATACATAATTAATACTAGACACATTTCTCGATATTTTTACATAGGTTACAGGTATCCACCATTTGTGTTCACACAATTCCTCTTGATTACCTGCGATACAATCTATAACCTTTATTGTCAGAGACTGTGTATCATTGTCTCGTGTTACTTGTATCACAGAATAGCCATCTTGTGTTATCCAGAAAGTTATCACATTTTTTATATTTATATTTTGTAAATGAATAGTTTTATATATAGCCGGCACATCAAGTACATTTTTCCATAAACTATCCAAAATAGACTGTTTATTAAATGTATCACTTGATGTATTCCTACTAACAACAAAAAAGGTCATAAGAAAACCTATAATTGTTGTTCGTTTTAACTTTTATAAAAAATTATGTGCTAATTTGTACATGTTACGTACATATAATGTTACTTACAAATTTCTAAACATTTTTCAAGTATTCTAATAACAATTACTCACATGGTAGAATACAATTTTATCGCTTCCTCAAAAATTGAATTGTATAAAACATTTTTGTCATGGAACAATGTATTGATCATAAAAAATATATTGAATGCTACAACATAATTTTGAATATGTGAAAATTATCACAGTATACAAAAATATACATATTATATGTATATGTAAATGTATGTTTTTTTTTTAATGTATAGACAATAAATACTTAAATGATTGTAATTGTATACTTCGATGAAAACTTCGCGCACGGTATATTGCATAATCTCAGTTTTTGTGTTCTCATTCTTTATAGTCTTAAGATATATAAACGTAGATTTTATATTGTTTTGCAATTTAAAGAGCAAACCCTTAGACAATTAAAAGTTTTACATTGTGAGTTATCTTACCTTTTTCTTTCCACATGATATTAAGTGTTACGTTTTGAGGAAATAGATTTTTTTGTATTGGTAAACCATGTTCAATAAATGCTTGTGTATATTCAAAACCTACTCGTCGTGTCTGGATCGCAATCGATTTCAGTAAAGTTTCATCGTAAATCTATTAACACAGTTTGTATGAGTACACTTATATTTACTTTAATTGGTATTTAGGTTAAGATAAAAATCTACATCGAAAAAATTGTATTCTTGTTTTGCGGAAAGATATCCCACTTACTTTAAGTATATTTTATACTAAAATAGGCGCCAAGAAAAGTTTCTTATTTTAAGAGGAAAATCCTCTAAATAGTAATATTGGTAAGAATATTACTGATTAGAATATAAACAGTTTCTATAAAAAAACATATATACCTCACTATCGAAAAAAACTATATTCTTAAATAAAGAATATATTCTTACTTTCAGAAGAATATCATTTAAAATATTTAAGAAGATTTTTTAAGTAGAAAATCTTCTACTTACAACAATATAATTTTTTCGGTGTATACTGTTAAGCTATCAAATTGTTAGTAATTTCAAGAAATAGAAAATGTGTTAGTATATGCAAATTATTAGTTGTAATATAACTCGAGAATTTCTGTAAATATTACAACGACCAGTTCAATAGTAGAATGCATACTGCTTACATCTTTTAATAAAAAGACAAGAAATATACTCTTTTTAGGTAATAATGTTACAGTATTATACATATATATAATAGTAAAATGTTTTATTATACCATAATAATTTAGTGTCATCTATCATCAAAATTTTAATAAATGCATGACTTACTTGATCCACTACATAAACTCCGTATAATGTTAAAAAACCTTCAAGGAACCAAGAATCAGATTGTTTCAATGTAACTAACCATTCACTGAACATTTCTTGTAGCACACCGCGTACAACCAAGCATGTTACTTTTGTTTTCTTTATAATTGAATCTATTTCTCTATTGTATGCAATATTAGCGTCTCTAAAAATAATATTGTTCTTACAGCAATTTTGTCGTTTTTATCCTATGTATGATTGGTTTCAGCTAATTTTACCTGAAGAATACAAGTCCAGAAGTTACTATGGTTTCGTAATTGTTAGAGTTTATTGGAAGTACTAAATACTGCACGTATGAGACTGATGTGATATTCTCTTTCTTGTCGTCGATAGATGTCAGAAAATTTGTTATAAGTAATATTGCGTATGAAATGTCGTTTTTCACTTGCAATCTAATTTGAATAGTAAGACGTGTATGACGCAACAAGGAAGTATGTATATAATAATCGGAATTCGCTGGTACATCGGTGTATTCTGGAAATACTGCTGTTGCTATCAAATGAGTAGATATTTTAGGTGTAGTACAAAATAATGTATAGAACTGATTTTCTTTAAACTTTTTATCACCAACCGTATGTGATAAAACTATTTCATTGTAAGTATGATTAAATTGAATAGTAAATGCGGCCTTGATTGCAGGATTTTTCCAATGAGGAAATACCCATTCAGCGGGAATACGCGGTAAAATCAAATATCTATATAATAAAAAAATGTAGATTATAAATATACACTGATATGGAACTACTAAAACTGTGTAAATCTTATTTCTACAGAACAAAAAAAAAATTGTTACTGCGATAGCGTTTTATTTACTCACTTTTCTTTTTTAGTTTGAGATACATATGGGATAATTGTTGCAATTTTCTCTAAAATGCACTTATATTTCGAAGTTATCCAATATATTCCAGGTTGTATATCTCTTTTTCGTTGTTTTATTTTAAAATCGTCTATATAGTAGTCCACGAGAACGATGTCAATAAATCTTTCTTTCGTAGAAAATGGCTCGTATAACCAATGCGAATAATTATACCGAGAAATATTAGTAGTGATGTTAAAATCGTATGTAACATTACAATAGTATTTGACATACAGTCGTATTTTCTGATCTGTACATGAAATGTTGAGTTTGACACGAGAATTGACGTTGAGTGAATTATTATGTACTTCCGCTGAAATATTCATAATATATTCAATTGGTTGTATACATTGTTGGTCTTGAGATAACTTTTCATCAGTTGAAAAAGCAAATCTAGGTAGAAATATTAGGCACAAAGTTCCAAAGAATTTAAGCATCTGCATACTGTGAATCTAGAAAATTATTTTGTTTGTTAAGCACGAAATGCATATGCACATAAAGACGCAACATACAAATTATAAATGTACACATCAATTGTTAATTCTTTATCAGATATAATTGTCAAAGACAGATGTGTATGACCGTTCTAGAATATGTTTATCACTTTGTTTCGATGTCTGTATGTTTATCACGTACGCATACAGATACACTAGCATAATAGTTGTCATGATTGCGTTAATTTGACATATAAAAGGACGATTAGAGAAAGAAAAACACAAAGTGTGCTAAACAATTTTAACAAATTATTATTTGAACGAACAACGGTATACTCAAAAAGTTTGTCTACAAATTTTGAGCGCGTTTGAATTATGTACTATGTCACACATTGCAAATTATGTCATTGTAAATACGATATTTTTAGATTGCATTAATAGTTATGTACTAGTCATGTATGGTTTATTTACAATTATTATAATTCGTACAAAAAGTGATAAACTAAAGCAGATATAAATTTTTTTAATAGAAAGAAAACTCTTTTTTTCTCTCTCTCTCTCTCTCTCTCTCTCTAACGAATTTTATAAAATTTTAGCGTGTGGTGGACACTACAAGATATATTTCACAACAATAATTATGAATATTTAACACATAATATACGAGCTTTTTATACCTTATTATGTTTGAGATATCTCTAGCTCCTAAAATAGTCTTACTTTTCACTTTATACGTATTATCACTATATAAGTTCAAAAACGAATTGCCTAAGTATATCTGCGATCGTGCCTCTTGGAGAGATGATCGATAACTACAAGACAGTCTTTTCCGTTAAATAATAAATATATATCACGATGTAAACACCTGTATTGGGAAAACGACCTTTCTTTGTAGGTTGTGTGCCATGTATATACATATGTATGTATAGAAATATGAGTTTCAAAATATATTTTTTCACTGTTTACTACACATTCATATGTTTTGACATGTTTTATCTAGAAAATATTTCAGGATGTTAATATGTTTTTTTTTCAAACTATACAATTGAAATAAAAGAAAAATCAAAAACGAGGTTTAGATAATTATTTTTGAATGTGCCAACGGTGCGCTCGCGAAACTGTAAAAGATTTATTGCGAGGAAATTACTTTTACATGGAAAAGATTTAATTAACTTTTCCAACTTTTAAAAAAATTACTTGAACAATATAGTTATTTTGATTTAGTATGTAAGTATTTTTTTTTGTTACACGCAAAGACGTATGGGATGATTTCCCGGTAAAAACTTTTTAATTTATACTTATACACAAATGAAAATTATTACATCTAATTATGCAAATTTATATACCGAATATGTCCATACAATTTTATACATTAAAAATTTTTTATCAGGTTACGGTAGCGTCACACTCGACGTGAACATAGAGGTTTTGTACAGAATTTCGGCCAGAAGTGTGTTCTACGACTTTGTCGATTCGAATTTTCGCACTTTTCTTTAAAATACAGCTATGTTAAATAAAAAATTATTTCTATCGAATCCTCGCACTTTTCTTTAAAATACAGATATGTTAAATAAAAAATTATTTCTATCTTTGAAACATATAAATGGTCATTAGTGTCAATCGATAAATGTTTGTTACCAAAATATATATACGAGGTGTCCGACAAGTAGTGTAAAATCACTCGTAGACAGATAGAAACAGTAAAAATGAATCGAGAAGTCCTGAACTATTTGTTTTTATTACATATAAAACAAAAGTAATTATTGAATAAATCACGCTTATCAGCGCCGACCTTTAGCTGGGCGCATGGCAGTGCACGTGCCATCAGTTGCGTGGAGCGCTCACGCACACTACCAAGATAACATTTTGCGAGCAAAATTCTATCTCAATGAATCGTCATATGAACAACATATAACCAGTAAATCTAGACGGAAGTTTGTACATGAATATCTAATCATTACACACAAGAACGACTTATTCATCCTAAGTATGTAATACACCGTCAAATTAAGAGTAAATAATACAATACGTTAGCAATTTGCGCGTTATTCGTTTGTATATTGGATAGATATTAGATACTTTTTTGTGCGCAATATGCACGCGTGTGCCAGATAAAATATGTTCGCAAACAAAATTCAAGCAAATCACATACAAGATGTACATACTTATTTAACGCGCGCAACATTGCACTCAAGAAATGTTATCTGAGCAGTTGCGTGGTTCACTGACGTGCTTTCGGCTAAAGGTCGACGCTGATTGGCGTACTTTATTCAATAATTACTCTATTATTATATGTAATAAGAAAAAATAGTTAAGGAATATTCGACCCAGTTTTACTTCTTCTACTTGTCTACAAGAGATTTTGCACTAAGTGTCGGACACTTTGTATATAAGTATGCTTCTAAGTAATAAGCGATAAGTAGACAAAAAAATGATAAGTAACTAAGAAAATGTTCTCTTTGATTGTAACACAATTTTATTCACAGAACAATGAAAATTCATAAAAAAAATGTTAGATAACATACAAATGTTTCCACGTAAACTTTCTTGAAAACATTGCGCAGTGATAAAAACTAAGGAATTGTCACAACATAGTACAGTTTATTTTGCAAATACTCTTTTTATTATAAGATTTTGTCATACATATTATTGTTTGAACATATTAAATAAAAAAACAAAAAAACTTATACATAACATAATAAAATCTAATTAAAGTATCGATTATCATGTTTTACATACACAAAGAAATTATTACGAGTATCATATATCATTTTATATATCATACATACTACTGTTTGATATAGATTGCTTCTGTTTTATACATTTCATAGTTTTATATATCCAGATAATAATTTTTGCGTGCACGGTTTGCGCGCGTTAAATATGTAAATCTTATATGTGATTTGTCTGAATTTTGTTTATGAACATATTTCATCGCGCACACACGTGCATATTGCGCACAAGAACCTATCTAATACTCATCCAATATACCAACAAATAACGAGCAAATTGCTAACATATTGTATTTTTTACTCTTAATTTGACGGTGTATTATATACTTAGGATGAATAAGTCGTTCTTGTGTATGATGACAACATATTAACGTACAAACTTCTGTCTAGATTTACTTGTTATATTAGATGCTGTTCATATGACGACGCACTGGAATACGATGTTACTCGCAAAATGTTATCTGAATACCTACACAATGTGTTTTTTTGTATAATGTGTGTTTTATATATTCACTTGTGAGCAATTAACCTTAAATGTATACTTAGTCGCGCAGTTGTGTAAAATGAAATATAGTGTAATAGTAGTATTTCTTGTACCACAGATTCGATTTTATTTTATGATCACTTTGCGAATTATTAAATGTATTAAAGTCTGTAAAAGCTACATTTTAAACATAATTCATAAATGCTTTTTTGTGTCATAAAATAAATTAACTCTTGGTATACAAGAATAACTTTGATATTAACAGCAATACATAGATACCAATTTCTATATAAATTAAAAAACATATGTTTATACAAAAAAACTTGTTAAAATCATCATGTGATTAATAGTGTAGTAAATAATGAGATACATCTCGAATGTGTATTTTCTTGATTCGTACACTGGTTCGACGCTTCAGCATTTTCTTCATAATGATGTCGCGTATAAATAATTGCTACAAAAAATTACAAATTATATTAATGATAACATCTTGTATACTTTTGCAGAAGTCTATTAATGGTGAAGAATACAGTTTTATAAAACAAAAAACCAGAATTACTACAAAAGAAAACAAAATAAAACTGTGTAAGTACGTGTAAACTATAAAAAAAGTGATTAAAACACGCGTAACAAGTACTGAACAAATATAACACTTTTTATTTTAGAAACTTAAATTTGTAAAATACTTTTTAACTTTTATTTAAAAACTATATTCTATTTATAGAACTTCCTCTCACCGTTTTTAGATTATATTTGTTAATCAAAGTTGTAACCAGTAGTAGTACAGTCTTAGCAATCTAAAACCACAGTGTGATAATAATATACAGCATTAAATATGTGATTTTTTTAGTGTGCTAAACTACATTTATATAACTTACAAATATACTTTCATTACATACATACATTAAGTTACGTATTTATATAAAAAAAAATTGTTTTACAGTTATAGCTATATTAACCATTTCTCTTCACATAACGTACCGTTTCGGAATCTTCATCTGAATATATGTGGTTAATACTAAAATTCACAACTGCAAGTAGGCCAACCGGTCTTTTAAAGGAAACACATATAACAGATAATTAGTACAAAATCTTTCTTAGTATTTACATTATAATCTTGTAAGATATAAAAAAACTACTGTATATAAATTGAATAAACATAATATATATACATATACAGATATAAACTACATACAAGATGTATACTGTAACTTATACATATTGTACATACAGTAATAAGACAATACAAACATTAACAGGTTTATTTAGAAAACTTTGTTCACCTTAAGAATTTATCTTGTATTTGTCTTATTATAATATCCAGTGAAGAGAACTTTTTTACATGCCGTGCAACAATATCAAAAAGAAGGTTAACAAAATCACTTTCTTTTCCTAAATGATGTTCTTGTGCATAACGCACTTCTACTGTGTAATTGTGTCCACGACAAGATAAAAGGTGAAAAAATTTGTTTTGCTTTTCTTGTGACAAATAAATGTTTCGTATTGTATGCAACAACATAAAATCATTTATAATTCCTAATGTTACACTTTGGCAATATATCCATCTCTTCCAACTTACCAACAATCTGTAAATATTCACAAAACTATATATATAAATTTACTTATACACTTATCACTCGGACGCGTTTACTTTTCTCTTGATATCGTAATGATATGTCATTACTCATGCCACATATGCTATTACGTTTTTTATAATCGTAGAAGTAAGACACTTTTTGAGGTCATGTCTATTTAACATTATATATAAATATATGTGTAATTGAACTGTACAAATCTATGTACGGTTTATAAAAAATTGTACATTTTTTTAAAAATTATGTCACTCGCGAATGTTTAGTATTTTTGCAAATATCATAATACTGTATCAAGACTCATGTTGTCAGATATATAATATTATGTATAATATATCAGTAGAGAGAAAAGTGTTATACAAACGTCAGTTGGTACTAAAGAAATAGAAAAACGTACTTGTTTTGTGCAGGATTGTGTAAATGCCACTCTAATATATCAATAAGGTGTTTGTTGCACCTTAAACTATTAAGAATACATGTCCATTTTAAAACTTCGTGATATAATTGAGTATCAATGCTATTCTCGGAAACATTTATATGTGATGTATCTTCAAGAAATTTATTCAAAATTTCTAGTGCTCTATCCTATAAAAAACAGTGTAAAGTGTGTTACTATATGTATTTTGATTAATCTGTAACTCAAACGTGTAGCCAACTGTTTTCTTATTTCAGAATTACTGTACATCTATAAAGTTTTGTAATTTGAAACAGTTTATATCTCAATATTCTTAATATATGTACGTTTCTAAATGCACACTGGTTTAGTCGTTTTTTTTGGACAATGTTATATATATGTATATTACTTTTTAGTGGGTTTTTCTGTTGTCAGGTGATAAATAACGAACGGAGAAAAAAATGTGTAACGTAAACCATGTATACTAGAAGACTTTTTCATTGAGTGATTTTTTAAGTAAAATTGTGTTTTAACCTTTTTTATTTTGTTCTGTATCAGTGCAATGTAGTATTTACCTTGATTTTTGCGCTTTCTGGAAACGGAAAAAGTTGTGATACATATTGAAGAGCATTAAATATTGGATACCATGTTATGTACCCATTTTTCACGTAAAGTACATTGTCCGCAAGATTGAAAAATGTGTCTATACTACTCATTCCTGCAACAGAATGTTTGTTGTACTTTGTATTTTGTATTAAAAAATAAAAGGCATCGTCGAGAATTTGGGCTAAAGTGACGTCAGATACTTCATATATATCCCAATTTTGTGGCTTTCCATTTTTCAGAAGGAAACCAAACTTTTCCCAAAATTTATAATCATAGTTAACGCGATATCCTACAACAAACAAATGTTTAGAGGAAAGTAATACAAAAAACATAGAAAAAGGCAAAGAAACAAAAACAGAAAAAAAGAAATAACCAAAGAAAAAAAGCGAGAAAAAAAGAAAAGAATAAAAGAATAAACCTTATATTATAAAGAGCAGAGTAAATGTAATACGGTGGTACAAAGTTTGAATATACAATAACAAATACATAGGAATCTACGATAATAACTTGATTGTATTACCATTTTGCTCTGTGATCACGATAAAATCATCTTCCTCAATATTCGAAACAACGATATCTTTTCTTTCTTGGTCAAGGTACGAGTAATGGTGTGTAATAGACTTATTTTTTGATATTGTTACATAGATTATAGGTATCCACCACTTGTGTTCACACAATTCCTTTTGATTTACTGCGATACAGTCTATAACTTTTATTGTGAGAAACTGTGCGTCATTGTCTCGTGTTACTTGTACCACAGGATAACCATGTTGTGTTATCCAAGACGTTATCACATTTTTTATATTTATAGTTTCTAAACGAATATTTTTATGTACGGCCGGCACAACACGTACATTTTCCCATAGAATATCAAGAATGGACTGTTCATTAAATGTATCACTTGATGTATTCTTACTAATAACAACAAAGATCATAACACAAAATACATTAAGTGTATGTTTTACATTTTATAGAAAAATATGCATTATTGCTTTCACGTTACGTATAATGCAACTCACAGTTTACTATACATTTTGTAAGTACTTTAATAATTATTACTTACGTGATAGAATACAATTTTATCGCTTCCTCAAAAATAGAGTTGTATAGAACATTTTTCTTATAAAAGAAATTATTGATCATAGAGAATATACTAAATGCTACAACATAATTTTAATTAATCGAAAGGTATCAAACAATTATCCCAAAAGTATGTATATCATATGTATATCTACTTTCATGTTTTTTACATGCAGACAATGATAGGTGTATGTTCTTGTATAGTTTGATAAAATATTCACAAACATTATTTTACATAATTTCATTTTCTGTATTTTTTTGTATTTTTTTTCTTTATAAATTTCGAATTTATAGAATGAGATTTTATATTGTTCTGCAGTTTCGTAAGCACTGACTTAAGCAATTAAAAGTTTTAGATTCTTAGTTTTCTTACATTTTTCTTTCCACATGGCACTAAGTGTTACGTTTTGGAAAAATAGATTTTCTTGTATAGGCACACTAGATTCAATATATGCTTGTGTATATTCAAAAACTACTCGTCGTGTCTGGATCGCAATCGACTTCAGTAAAGTTTCATTGTAAATCTATTAACACGGTTTGTATGATTACACATATATCTACTTTAATTTTGTTATTTAGTTTTAAATACAAATATATAGTGTTAAGCTATCCGATTGTTAGTAATTTCAAGAAATAGAAAAAGTTTTCACATATGCAAATTATTAGTAGTAATATCACTAGAAACTTTCTGAAAATATTACAAAAACCAATTGAATATAAAATGGGATACTAAACTCTTTTAACATAGTTTTTGAGATGACTACTCAATATATATATTTTTATCTATCATATCGTTTCGCATATATGTTAGCGGCAAAACCCGAAATCCCCTCATTTTTAGAATTGACTAGTCAATATCCGAAGTAACCAAGCGTTTTGGGCAAAATCAAAAACAGTTCTTTTTTTCGGGTTTTGACACTGTTGTGATTTTAGTCAATTTCAGAAGTAACCAACACGGCTGGTCAAAATTGAAATCTAAAGAATCAAACCTTGAGCTGCGTACCGTTTCGCGCATTTATTTGTACTATACATTACATGTACTATTGATAAACGCGCTTATATGAAACGGAACGCAGGATGTCGGATGTCCGAGATGGGCACAAAATAAATCGGAAAATGTGTCAATCAGACTCAATAGGATAGACTAGTATTAAAACAAGACTAATTCTTTCATGTTCTCTTTATTGATGTTGTAAACGTGTAAACAAAGGGGCTGCGCTTCCTTTGCACCCTCCCTAAAATCTAACCTGACCCTAATCCAAAACTTTTCTTTCTCCACTCTCCCTCGCAAAATTTTCACTCATTTTTATTGATATTTTAGTAACACAAGTTAGGGTTAGGTTAGATTTTAAGGAGGGGGTGCAGGAAGGGGCGCAGCCCCCTCTGCCTACACGTTTACAACACCAACAAAAAGAACATAAAACAATTAGTCTTGTTTTAATACTGGTCTATCCGATCGAGTCTGATTGACACATCTTCCGATTTATTTTGT